GGGGTGGCCACGCCCCCCCCCCCCCTGCCCCCCCCCCCACTCCTCTTACCATTCTGGCTCCACGTGGGTCGGTTTGTGTGTTACACAGGACTACAGAGAGAGGGAGGGGGGAGCAGGGGAGGGCTCTGGCTGCTGGAGGCCAATGGGAGTGGGTCAATCGGCCTAGACGCCCAATCAGCAGCCACACTCTGCATGGAAGGAAGGGAGGGAGGCGAGGGAGAAAAAACCCCCGGACATTTTAACCTTGTTACCAATTCCTCCCGGACGGCTATTTAGAGACGCAAAAGCCGGACATGTCCGGGGAAATACGGACGGATGGTAACCCTACCTAACCCCCTTCCTGACCACACATGACCCACGCTCACTCAAGTGTAAAGATGCTTTCAACCCCACATAGCTGGCCCAGCTCAGTTTATAGGCTAGCACTCGGGTGCTGCTTTCACTCGGGCAGGTAACCTGCCCACTTTGCAATGAGGAGGCAGGTTAAATCACTAGAGTGCTGGTGGTCCCCCAGTTCCTTCCCACAGTTCCCCTGTGTGTTTGGAAGGACAGACAAGCTCACCCACAAGTCACTGGGAAAGAATCACAGAGCAGCTCAGCTCACTGCAGCACCATGGGATGTGCCCCCCAAAATCCTAGCAACTCACACAGGGGAGTATAGCACCAGTGAGGACAGAGCAACTCGGGTAGGGATTTTCACACCCAGGCAAGGCTAACCCGGGTGCCGATCACCCATGCTAACTCTGCAATGAAGTCATATGCTAAGGAGAGTAGGATGGGAGTTCTTGGGGTATTTCTACACTCCAATATATGCCCAGGGTTCACACACAGGCTCAAGCCTACCCCCCTTTCTGTCTACACACAACTCATGTGAACCCATGGCTTGGACCTCACAGGGGTGCAGGGTTTGAGCCTGAGTCAAGCCGGGAGCCAAGGTCCAAGCTCTGCAGTGTAGACGCATCCCCACTGGATTCGTGCTTTGGGAGTCCACCATAAGCATCCCATGACCAACTTCCTTTGTCCTCTGGACAGTCAAGTTTGGTGGACAAATTTTCCCACACTGCACCTCAAACAAAGGGCTACATTTTGGCCACATTTTGAGAGGGCGCTAGGAAGTGTCGGACCTGGGTGGTTGGACTTGGGCCTGCATAATGCAGTGGAGATGGTGGCGCCCCAGCTTGGGACCCAGGGTTCAGCAATTCCTAACCTTGGGTTACAAATGTGTGTAGATGCTCAAGCCGTAGGTTAACAAACCTAGGGTCTGCTAACCCTAGGCTTACATTGCAGTGCAGACATACCCGGGAAGTGCATTTCAACCCTGGCCTATGCACCAGTTCTGAAGGATTAAATGGGACTGAAGTGGTGCATGAGCCTTGTGTTGGCTCCTTTGCAAAGGGCTGAATTTCACCATGATCACGGCTTGTAATAAGCATTCCACTGTAGGGTAGGACAATTATGTTCCCAAAGCCACTTCCAGCTCGCGCTGAGATGTTCAGTAAGGGATCAGATTGCAAATGACTGCATGTGGTGGTTCAGAGGAAAGAATTTCACACTTGTCTGGATGCTGCTTGTCTGCAGATAAGCAATGCTTGGGGAGGGCTGATTATACTATGTGTAAACTACACACACTCAGGGGAATGCTCTGTTCCCCTCAAGTGGTGGCAGAACCCTCTAGGTAGGTTGATGGAGCTACTACAACGTTACCTAACGGAGCTGAATCTTTTAGCTCAGACATTAGCACAATATGCTTTTAGACCCTGAGGTTGCAAGTTCAATACCATCTCCCAGTGATCTGACGGGGGAGAGGGACGCAGTTTTGTGTCACCTGTTTTGGCATTACATGCCAAGCACAACTTGTTCTGTCTTTGCAAGTTAGATATTTTGGGTGGGATTTTCAGAAGTGCCTGAGGGAGTTAGAGGCACAAGCCCCATTGAAAGTCAATGGTAGTTAGGCACCTCACTCAGACGGTTTTGAAAATCTCTCCCCTTGTTTCTGGGAATGTCAGATTTGGGACGCTCTTGGTTTCATTTGGAGGGATTATTTGGGTGGCATGATCAGGTTGGCCGAAGTGGGGATTTGCCCAAGTCTGTCCTTGTAACAGGATTCCATTCTGCTCAGATCTCACAGAAATCTCTCATTGATCATGGCAAAAGACAGATAAATAAATACTCCCATCGCCCAGTCATACAGCAAACCAGTGGTAGAACTGTGTGTGGAACCCCAGAGTCCTGGTTTTCATGTCTGTCTATGAGGCTTCAATGATCTTTCGATAAAGAACAGCTGTGGGGGCCCTGAATTATTGCTCACACAGCATAGGAGGAAGGGCCTTTGGCCATTAAAGTAACGTGTGGTTGTGCTTTGTTTGGGTAGGTTGGTGGGTCTCTGAACCCATGCCTATTGAACTCAAGAGAAAGCCTCGTATTGACTTCAGTGGGTGTTGGATCAGGCCTTTAGCCTGTTTCTGTCGGTCTGTCTCACTTCCTTTTCTTTCCCAGGAAAGCGGATGTGCCCAGGGGAAGGGCTGGCCCGGATGGAGCTGTTTCTCTTCTTCAGCACACTGCTACAGAACTTCACCTTCAAGCTAGCGACCGATCCCAAAGAGATGGACATATTATCTCTGTGGGTGGACTACCAGAACAAGGGGCCATACTGTAAATTCCACCTCATCAGGCGCTAAGCAATTGGGATGTACTGGGCTGGAGAAATGAGAATGCAGAGGAAACATCCACTGTGTGCTAACAACTGATTGCTGAGAGCAAGGGTGGTTAAAGTGTTGGACCGGGGCTCAAAAAATCAGGGTTCAGTTCCCAGCTCTGACACAGACTCACTGTGTGACCTCGGGCATGTCACTTAATCTATCTGTGCGACCTCGGGCATGTCACTTAATCTCTCTGTGCCTCAGTGACCCATTTATAAAATGCAGATGACAATAGTACTGTTGTTCTCCCACCCTGTGTCTGTCTTTTCTACTTAGACATAATGGCGACTGTCTCTCTTGCTAAATATTTGTACAGCATCTAGCACAATGGGAACCTAATTTTGGCTGGGGCCTTTATACCCTACTGTAACAGAAATAATACCAACCACCCCTGGATTGTCACATCAGTGTACCCTGTTCATTGTTTCAAATCAAGAACAATGCAAAACAAATTCCCTTCACTGCCCATGTCTACTGCAAACACCCCTTGGTGGAGGCAGATGATTGTACAGAAAAAAGAGAATTTAAAAATAAAATACAAGCTTTAAAACTGCACTAGCAGGCTGGGGTTTTAGTTTCAATCGGTGCAATTTTCTAAGTCAGTCAGTGACTTAGGCTCCTAAGTCCCATTTTCAAAAGTGATTTAGATACTAAGGAGCCTAGAGACCTAGGCTCCTAAGGGTGAGATTTCCAAAAGTGCCTAGTTAGGTGCCTCACTTCCATTGAAAGTCTATGGGAATTAGGCACCTGGGTCATTTAGGCATTTTTGAACTTTTTACTCCACATCTTTAGAGACATGCCTGAGGCCATGTAACTAGCAGGCAGAATTCTTAATAAAAACACCCCTGGTAAATATTCACACACACCCACTTACGTGTCAGTACAATAATTTGTCAATAGGCCGGGATTTTCCCACGGCAGAACATACCGGTATTCATGTAAAATTCTCCCCAGTACTGAGGACTCACGTGAGGCCTTCCAAGCCCCCTTGAAGCCCTGTGGGTCTTGCATGTTCTCTTGGCACCGGACTGAAGTTCATTCATAATGAAGACCCAGCACATTTTCAAAAGCAGCCTCTGATTTTGGGTGCCCAGCTCACCAGGGTAAGGGAGTGGAGGGCCAGGCCCAGGTTCCCGTAAGTCCTGGACTGGGTTGTCATGAAAGGGGCTGCTGGCTCCATTGCAGGTACAAATTTGTGACTCAACCCCACTTTGATCCTCAGATTTGCTGTGTCACCGGCTCTGCTCCTTTGTACCGGGAGGGTGGACTGGACCTACCTGTGAGGAGGGATGGAGGTTTGCGATGCTAGGCCCTTGGTGGAGGTGGGGTCACCAGTGTGCCAGGTGGGGACACATCATTGATCTCTCTGCAACAACAAGAAAGACTCAGAATGAGAGACGTCAGTCATTTTTTCACTCATAATTATACCCAAAGCTGCATAATTAATTTCTCCGGCAAAGGGGAGTCTAGAACAACCAGAGAAAGGGATAAAAACTAGTTTTCAAACGTGGCTTGTGATTTTGGGTGTCTGTCTGAGGCACCATGGGCCAGATGTTCAGAATTGCTGAGCACCTACAGCTCCAGCTGAAGTCAATGGGGGACTGAACTAGTGTCCCACTGCTTCCTGCCAGCATGGTTGGACCCAGCTCCCAGTGAATTTGGAAGAAGGATGCTTTGGAAGTTAAAGCGTGGACTGGAACTCTGGAGAGCTGGCTTCAATCTCTGTGCACCAGGGATCAGGGCCTGCAGCAGAGGAAATCTCCTGGCAAGCCCAACAGCAGGCCTGCAGTCGGCTGCCTGACTGACTGTACCACCTGACTGGTCAGAAAAGGCAGCTGGCTGGCTGGCTAAGCACAGCAGCAGCAACTGCTCTCTGGCTGCTCAATGTGTTCACATCTGTGCTGCGATCCTCCCAGTGTCTGCTGCTCTTCCCCTGCTCCTACCTTGCTCCAGCCCTGCTCCTAGTCCTGTTCTTACTTTGTTCCCCTGTCTCGCTCTTCACCTTGCTCCTGGTTCTAGCTTCCTCACTCTGACCCGGGTTCCTGATCCCAGCTCTGGCCCTTGACTTGGCTATTAGTTCCTGGTTCCAACTCTTACTCCTAGCATGGCTGCTAGTTCCTGACTCCAGCCCTGACCTTTAGTTTGGATCCGCTTCCCTGGCTCCTGCTCCACCCAGCAGTCCTGACTGTCCACAGCCTCCTTGGGCAAGTCGCTTCACCTCTCACCTAGCCTCAGTTCCCCGCCCATGGAATGGGGATAGTAAGACTTCCTTCTCCCCCACACCATGCGCTGGGTCCATTTAGACTGTAAGCTCTTTGGGGCAGAGACTGCCTTCTACTATGTGTTTGTCCAGGAATTAGCACAATCTCAACTGGGGCATCTTGGTGCTACCGCAATCGAGTGGAGAAGGAAACTGTTAAAGTTTATCTGATTTTTTTCCTCTGTGCTTTTAATCTTCCAGCAAACCTTTTTCTACTAAGAAACACACTGTCTTAGGAAAGATTAACCCAACCCTTCTGTGACGGGTTCGGTCACAGAGACCCGCTTGGGACTGTCACCTGATGTGCTGAGACTACCTCTGAGCCCGTTTTCCCTGCCAGCTTGGGACTTCAGAACCCTGTCTTAGTGAGCCAGATACGCTAACCTGCTGCAACATACCCAGGGTCTGAACCATGTCCCCAGAGCTGCAGACTTAACTGAAAACAGCTTAGCAAATATTCCTGTCTCCAGCAGACAGACACCCTGCTCCCAATGGGATCCAAACTCCAAATAAATCTGTTTTACTCTGTATAAAGCTTATACAGGGTAAACTCATAAATTGTCTGCCCTCTATAACACTGATAGAGAGATATGCATAGCTGTTTGCTCCCCCAGGTATTAATCACTTACTCTGGGTTAATTAATAAACAAAAGTGATTTTATTAAGTATAAAAAGTAGGATTTAAGTGGTTTCAAGTAATAACAGACAGAACAAAGTAAGTTATCAAGCAAAATAAAACAAAACACACAAGTCTAAGCCTAATACATCAAGAAACTGATTACAGATGAAATCTCACCCTCAGAGATGTTCCAGTAAGCTTCTTTCACAGACTGGACTCCTTCCTAGTCTGGACCCAATCCTTTCCCCTGGTACAATCCTGGTTAGTCCAGCTCAGGTGGTAACTAGGGGATTTCTTCATGACTGGCCTGCAGGTATGCAGTGGAGACTTGCAGGTAAACAGAGCCATCTACAGTCAATTGTCCTAGACAATGGGAGCCATTAAGATTCTAAACCACCATTCATGGCCCACACTTTGCATAATTACAATAGGACCTCAGAGTTATGCTACACATTCCTAGTTTCAGATACAAGAATGATACATTCATACAAATAGGATGATCACACTCAATAGATTATAACCTTTGTAATGATACCTTACAAGAGACCTTTTGCCTAAAGCATATTCCAGTTACATCATATTCACACTTATAACCATACTTTTATAAAGCATTATGGAGTGCAACATCACATCTTCCATCTCCGGGGAGAGAGAAGGAGCCAGGTGGCCTCATCCTTGGTTTGGTCCAGATGCACCAGGATCCACCCGAGTGAAGGGTGAGCAGCAAAGTCAAATGGGGGCAGCCTGGAGACTGAAGTGGAAGAAGAGGAACCAGCGGCCTGAGGCTTTCACCTCCTTTCTTTCTACGCCGTGATCAGTGATTCACTGTCACCGTTTGCCACCAGCAAAGCAAAGCGATGCACTTAGTCCGGCTCCCACTGGCTGCTGGCTGGAGAAGAGCCGTGGGAGTCCGACATTGCTGATTCTGGTGCACAGATGGTAACTGCTAGAAAGGCAAAAGAGGTCAATTGCCGCAGTGCCACAGCACCCTCCTGTTGGTGCCCTAGGGTGACTCTATTCAAAGCTAAACTTTCACTCCTGAGATGGGGGAGGAGCCAGAGAGAAGTCGTTGGTACGGCGCTGGGGAGCTCTCTCCGCGAAGGGTATAAAATGTTCTGTGCAGGGGAGAGCTCGGTCGAGCTGCAGCAGTGGGATCGGTTGGAGTGGAGAGTAGAGACTGGGCTGCTGTTTCCCAGAATGTGAAAAGCCAACGCCTGAGGATCTGCAGTCCGAGTGGTGCCAGGCAATGCAATGATCTCCCCGCTGCTCACAGGGGCTCTCGCTGGTCTAGTGGGGCTAAAGCTCCTGTCTTCATGGAAGAAGAAGTAAGATCTGCCTCCAGGCCCCACACCCTGGCCTCTGATAGGCAATCTGCACCTGCTAGAATGAGCACCTCCCTACAAAACCTCCATGGCAGTAGGCGAGATCCTGACCTTGCCTGTTACAACTTCTTTACGCACAAGCTTTTGGCGGACAGAGGGGGGAATGTTGCAATTTATTCCAGCAAGTGCATTGCTCTGTTTGCCCAGCAAATTTCCTGGATCCTTCTCTGTGAGCGAGGCAGCAATAGCTGAGGTCAGCCATGGCACAAAGAATCAAGCCAAATACAGCAGGAGAAATCGTTGAGCTCAGTTGCACCTGGAAGTGGAACTTTTCTCTCAAGTAGGTTTACAAGCTCTTTTGTCTGCATGACTCCTAGGAGGGGGTGGCTTGCTCGCTCCGGCCTGTCTCCTGGAGTCCTGTAGTACAATATTTCATAAGCCTGAGCCGTGCAGACTCAGGGGATGCTGTTATTGCCAATGTCTGCGTGTGAAGCTGGCGACATGAGCAGGGAGTTAACCCCCTGTCTCTCGGCCTGTCCCTGCAGGTCACTGTTTCATGAGCCTAGTATGACACACTGGTGGCCCAAGTGTGATATAATCCACCATGTCGAGTTGTGTCAGCTCACTGAGTGTCAGCTAATATAGCACACAATGGTTTGTTTCTTAACGTAGCTGAGTGTGTGATGTATAGGAATCTACTGATTGGTCCTGTCACCCACTGCAAAGCCCATGGCAGAGCTTGCCTAGCAGGAATCCAAAATTGACAGTCCTTTCAGTCACATTTTTTTTTTGTTATTGGCACATCTAAGACTGTAATGACTCCCCCTTAAATGTTCTGTGATTCCATTCCATGGGCTCAGCCCCACAAGTTTAACCAGATCCATACTCTTCCAATCCCCTTCTCCACCTGTCCAGACATCATCAGTTCCACAGGCCCATCACACCACGCCAAATCTATTAATCCTTCCAAACCCTCTTCAGGCACCACTCTCCCCCATCACCAGCATTTCGTGGAGGCTTCTGCCCCAACCTGCCTACTGTTCCTCACAGCCAACTTTATGCCTCCCTGATTCTTGGACCAACTGGGGTCTAAAATGACCTTTGGTGTAACTCAGAGCAGTCTCAGGGCTGCTCTAAGTTGTGCTGGCTGCTGTGATTCCCACAGGGACAGTTTCACCAGCTGAAGTTTGGGTGGAGTCTCGTCTCTCCCACCTCTGGCCTAACCCTGACAAGCCCCAACTCCTACGAAATGGGGGCAAAAAACACAATTGGCTTCAGGACTGAGCTTGATAAGTTTATGGAGGGGATGGGATGATAGGACTGCCTACTATGACGTAGCAAAAATCCCCAACTG